ATTACTGATCTGTTCCAACCACCGCTTCATTATAGGATTCATTCAAAAGAAACCGGATATTTCTGTCTGTTCACTTATAACACTACGCTCATATTGTTTTCAGTCCTTTCATGTATATCGTTGTCTGCTTGGTTTTGTAAAAGTAGATTGATAAGTTCGGAGACTGTCACAATTATTATCTATATTTTGATGCGTATTATCACTGCTTATAACGTTCAGTCTTCGTAATTAACGAAGCCGCGTTGTGTGAAGTACATAAACAAGGAAGAAATTTATACTGAGAAATATTCCTAATATTCAATAAATGCTTATTCGAAAATTCGATTTCATAATCAGGCATGGAGCTATACAGCGAATTACATATGCAATACCTACCTACATACATACATATATATATATATATATATATATATATATATATACGTAAAATTTTCAATATGCAATACATATATACATACATACATACATACACACACACACACACACACACACATATATATATATATATATATATATATATATATATATATATATATATATATATATATATAGGAAAATTTTCAATAGGAAGACACTGAAAATTAGTTACTCATGCGTTAGAAATATAGAGAAAATCATATCTTCCCATAATTGTAGAATACTTAAAAAACTATCATAGTAATGAAACTCAATCAATAACCCTACCTGCAATTGTAGGAATAAAGATCATTGTCCAATCGGGGGTAAATGTAAGTATGAAAACAATCTTTCCCGAGAAAAATATAATCCAGATAAAAGATATATAGGTATATCCGCCGGTGATTGGAAGCAGCGTCTATACAACCATAAACGCTCATTTAGATATAGATGCCTCAGAAATCAAACTTCCTTATACAAAGATAAGAATCAAGATGAATTGCTGAATCTTCGTAATGAGATATTTTCTAAATGTAGACATAAGAAAGGATTCAAAACATAAACACCGTTTTGTAACATGTTGTCACTTATGTCAGTTCCATCTTGGTTCAATAACATCGGGCATGATATTTTAATGGAATGACTATTATGCTTATCTCTATATATATCAGTGTGTATGTTTATGTGATGCGCTATGTATTTTAATATTTTTTTAGACCAAATTTTTTTAAATTTTACTTTTTTAGATTTTGATTTATATGTATATTTGCGTACCTGTGTGTGCATGTGTGTATATGTGTATATATGTAGGTGTGTATATAGGTATATGTATGTGTTTTTATGGATGTATATATATATGTATGCGTATATGTGTATATGTATATTTATGTATGCGTATATGGATGTATGTATATGTAGGTAGATGTATATGTAGATGTGTTTATATGTGTGTGTATGTTTTGGTATATATGTACTCATATATATCTGTATATGTATGTATGTATGTATGTATATATAGTTAGACGCATAGATATAGGGATACATTGTTTATTTGTTTAGATGGGTGTATGTAATTGGATGGAGATGTAAGACTTTATGTATATATGTTATGTGCACGTATGTGTTTGTCCGTATGTATATATGTGTGTAAATGTGTATATATATGTAGGAGTTGATGTGTATGGATGTATGTGTATATGTATGTATGAGTGTGTGTATTTATGTATGTATATGTATACATGTATGTGTGTGTATGTATGTGTATATGTATGTATATGTATGTGAGAATATATATATATATATATATATGTATATATATATGTATATATGTGTACATGGGTATATATATATATATGTGTGTATGTGGGTACACGCCTATATGTATGTATGTACGTGTATATGTTATTGTGTATGTGTGTATACGCATGTGTTTTTGAACATAAAAATATAGGTCCTTGCTAGATTAGATAATCGTTATATTTATTTTTTATATGTTTATATTTGATTTGTAACCTGTAGTCGATATTGATTTTGTCAAATTTTCTTAATTACACAGCGGCCCTTTCAGTAAATGCCCTTTAGTTTTAATTTCCCCCGCCCCAACTCTCCCCCACCCCTTTTTCTTTTCTTTTCCACTCCCTCCCTCTTCTTCTAGTCTTTAAGATTAGATCGTCTATTGTGTGTGTATGTCACCACAAAATGTATCCTTTCCGGTTACATCTTTCATGTATTAGACATCCGACAACATTCATATTTCTCTCACTTAAACCGTCTTCAACTCACCTCTCTAAAACTTCTCTCTGTTAAGTTTTAATCTCCCACCTTCTCTCGTCTGTTACCCATCTCTTTAGCTCTAACATTCGTCCCACACTCTCATACTAACACTCTCTCTAAATTCTATTTTTATTTTCGGAGTTGTTTTTTCTATTTTCTTTTTGAATTTGTAGGTCTGATGAATTGGATCGTATTTACGATTCCAATGAAATAAATTATGACCATGGATTATTAGTGTTTAAGCCTTTTTATTATATATATATATATATATATATATATATATATATATATATATATATGCAATAAAATCCCAAATCACCTCACATGGGATCATTGTGGATCAGTTTTACTATTTTATATTACTAGGATCCACTTGGAATATATACCGACGGATTTATTATCTTTACTATATATATATATATATATATATATATATATATATATATATATATATAGTGCTGTTCGATAAAAGTGACTCACCTGATTTTTTTTACTTAAACATTTTTTCGCATAGCCTATTGTTTTTGGGGTCAAACTAATTTTTAAGCTTATTAATAATATAAAGACCCCTTTCCGACCTAGTAAAAAGTTTACTCACTCTAAGGTATTCTATTGATAATTATAATTTTGGATATAAATGTGATTTAGGAAAAAAAGAAAACTCTATTTAAAAAAAGTGACTCATTTATTTCCTTCAACTAGTAATCAATAGAAACATAACCGAACAGCTTTAAATAAAGAAGTATAGAGGTATAACTTATTTATAATAGGTAATATAGTTCGAAATATTTAATAATCTATGGGTCCTCCTTTATTTTAAATAACCTTTTCAACCCTTTTTGACATTGACTTGATTAGGTTCTGGCAAATCTCATCTCCAAGCATTGAATTCTATTCGGGTATGAAATTCACAATCAATTCCTTCTTTGTTGCTCAACTGCTTTCTCGGGAGCCTGTACTTTATAATGCTCCATAAGTTTTCTATGGGGTTGAGGTCAGGAGATTGGGGCGGCCATGTCATAACACTCACCTACTTCTCATCAAAGTATTCCTTCATCAAATTTGATTTGTGACAGGGAGCATTATCCTGCATAAAAAGGATCTTGGTGGGGTCGATTTGCACCCTTTCAGCAGAAGGGAGCAGACAAGACTCTAAAATTCTCTTGTACTGCTCAGTTCTGAGGGTCTTTTCAATAGATTTTAAGAAACCAGTTCCATGAAAAGAAAAGCATCCCCAGAACATTATATTGAACGGATGCTTGATAGTACTTACTGCTAAATTCAAAAAGCTTTCAAAGCTTCTTCTTCGGATTTCAGATCGCTTAACCTTTGAATTTAGCTCAGCTTTCGTTTCATCGGAGAAGAGAATATTTAGTAAAAAAAAATCAGGTGAGTCACTTTTATCGAACAGCACTATATATATATATATATATATATATATATATATATATATATATATATATATATATATATAGAGAGAGAGCGAGAGAGATAGAGAGATAAACATGCGTAACAGCAAAATTGTCTAAATGGTAAACACTAAAATTATATAATTTTTAGATGAAGATCTGAACCGTTTTATCTTAGAAATGATTAAATATATCTAACTGGAATACTTCGAGGTTTTTATAAATCTGTTCGTTTCTACTATGAGCAATAATAATGTATGATTCCTCTCCAAGCTTAAAAAGAAGTACGGTGATGAAATCGATCATTGTCCAACTTATTCAAGATAATGTTTGCCCTCTAACTTTTTGTGCTGTAGTAACAAGATGAATCACAGTTTTCTTATTTCATTTTCAACTATGTTTTCACTTTTCGTTGTACTGTCATAGCTGAAACTTCTCTCTCATATGCCAAACGTTTTATAAATTGAGTTGGAGCTTTTCTAATTGGTCTCTTTAGCTCTAAGTTAAAATGATGATCCATCTTGCTGTTGTGACCTGATGATCGGTTGTTTCTTCTCTACTGTTCCCTCTTTTTAAACTTATTCACCATTCTTTTCATGATTTCTGTATTGACTTTGAAGATCAACTCAGAGAATGAATGTTGGTACTATTACTGAAGCCCTGAATGATCTTTTTGTCTCTCACTGTTGCTCAGTTAGGGAGACAGTGGGGCTGACACAAAACAGTCTTAAACTTTTCTCTTTCTAGTTGAATAACTGAAATTCTTTTTCAGTGTTTCTTACGACAAATGATATCAAGATGGGTAAACGACTCATCTAAAAAGTTGTTAAAAAGAAACTCAATTATCTTAGTGTTTATTTACATATTAAACATTTTGTGGGATGGATGACTATGATGTTACACGATTTGGACAATTTTGCTTCTACATCCAGTTTTATATATACATACATATATATATATATATATATATATATATATATATATATATATATATATACAAAAGAATGCTAGAGACATAGAAAGAGGTATGTTATATATACTTATATATCTGACTGTCGGTCAAAATTGAGAAAAATGAAAAATGTTCCGTAATTAATAAGTTTCAGGTTTATAGGACACATCTGAGAAATAATGGTTTTATCGATGGATTAAAACTTCTCTCTGTCTGTCTGTCTGTCTGTCTCTCTCTCTCTCTCTCTCTATATATATATATATATATATATATATATATATATATATATATAAAGAACAACATTCAATATATGCCGGTTACAACTTCCTCTAGAAAACACCAACACGTATTAGAAGGATTTTTTATATTATATATACAAAGGTTGACTATCCAATATCCGAACATCTGAAATGAACTTAGTGTTTTTTACTTGATCCACGCCACTTATATAGGACGTGGAAACAGGTGTCATGATCGGCCCGTCTCGGTCACCAGCATTCTACTTGAGTGACCTTAGCCCGCCAAACGTTAGCGCTCGTATTGTCTAACTATGCTGTTCTCCAATTTTTTTTCGTAATATTATATAGTGAAAATGTCAAAAGAAACTACAGGTACACTGATGAATAATAGTGAGAAAAAGAAAGAAAGCATCTCTTATTATTAATGACAAAAACACTAGAGCTTTTCCAGTAACTTGATAGCGTTGTTCCCATGCAAAGTCTGATTGAGGAATATGATTTCGAAGCAAACACCGTGTATGATTTAAAGAAATATAAAGAGAAGTGAATATAAATTCCATAATGAAAGTGATGACCATTAACTAATGAACAACAGAAAAATACTACATACAAAAAAATAAATAACAATACCTACTCTTTGTAGATTTTCCTTACCAAAATCTTTGGAAACTATTTTACGAAAGAAAAAGGCAGGCTATATATATATATATATATATATATATATATATATATATATAAACACACACATACATATATATATATATATATATATATATATATATATATATATATATATATATATATATATATATATATACTGCGTTTCAAATCATTAACGAGGTCATATTTTTTCATTTTTTCCAAAAACTACTAGTCGGAATTTAACGAGATTTTCACAGTATAACGGGAATAGATATATGCGCAGACTGTATAAAAACTGTATTCTTGTGCGCAACATGAAACAAACAGTCGCCATTTGTAATATTAATACAACGTAGATGTATGTGTTCCTGACTATAAACGAGTGTCATTATAATCGTGCAATTAAGGATCGCAAATGTGACTTGACACTTTCTGAGAATGATATTATAACATCTGAACTTTCCAAAGGTAAATCTACATTAATGATATCCAAAATAATTGGAATATATCACGAAACTGTGAAAAGATTTGTTGAAGCTTCTACGCAGGTACGTAAGAAGGTCGTTAAGGTTCATTCGAGGTTTGTTTGCCGGAGTTCTTTCGCACGAATTAAGCGTGAAGCTGTAATTAACCCAGGGTTGACTAGTGGAGAAACAATAGTGTCCAGAAGTACTCGTTATCATCAGCAATGGGATCAATAACAAAGTAGAAAAAAAGTTTTCGAGTGACTTTAGGACTTCATCAGGCTAGGTTTGTTTTCGTTTTTGCAACTATTCAGGCTCATAAACTAGAGACGCTTGGAATTTTAAACACACACACACATATATATATATATATATATATATATATATATATATATATATATATATATATATATATACACAGCAAAAAAAAACCTCAACATAGGTGTAGTCTATTTCAAACCATTCTTCACACGGCCATCATCAGCCTCTAAGTGCTTGTCTTGGAGCATCGTTCTAAACTTATTTTCAAATCAATCCTCCTCGCTTTATATTATATATATATATATATATATATATATATATATATATATATATATATATATATATGTAAATTATATATGTATATATATATATATATATATATATATAAATTATATATATATATATATATATATATATATATATATATATATATATATATATACTTTTTTATATGTTTTGTGGGTATATGATGTATTAGCCAATATCATTTAGATTTTTCTTTTCTTTTCCATCATCTTTGTTATTAAATATCCCAACATTGTGATAGCAGAAGTTCTGCCAAGGAGGGGGAAAGTTTGGAAGAACCTGGACCCAAATTTACTGCGGATGAAATGGCGATTAAAACACTTTCTAGGAATTTTCACCCGAAATATTATTTCTCTTCTAATTAGAGTAGCATTTTTAAATTAAAAATGTGATCTTGTTACAGAGACTCACCGCAATTTTTACATAGAAAATTAGGGTTTATGTGAAATAACGAAAAGTCTATATGTGCTTACGCCCTGAGGAGACACGACACTGAGAGAAGGACAAGAAGCTATGTCGCATTATATTATAGTTAGACTATATATATGTAACCGTAAATTTTATTCTAATATTTTATTCTCTGGCACTTCCCAACTGTGAAGCTTTCTTCCGGTTTCCTGTTTCCCGAAAACTACAATCACCATAAATTCAAGGTAACGTCATTCATCACTGTCTGTCTTTTTTTTTAAACACTATTTCATTATTGTCCTTTTTTTTCTCAGAAACATTTTCTCAGTTTCTTCCGCTATCAATAATCCATCTACTTTATCACCTTGCTTTCGGGGAAATTGTTAAAAAAAGTAAACAGTTTTAGCGAGTTCGAAATATTCATGTATTACAGCCTTGTTCTAGACTACGCAATGGCTTTAAATATATATGATGCTCCGTTTATATATCTCCAGATTTGAGTCCAAAGAAGAGTCTGTAATTTTATCGTTGCTGACTTTCAGTTTATTACTCATCGGCGTACCGTGGCTTCCCTCTGTCTTTTCTATAAATATTTCCATGGCAGTAGTTCTGCTCCTTGGTAACTCACATGCATAAATTTAAGATCAATACAAGACTAACTACAAGGTCAGATGGTCTTACTGCTGAATTAGCTAAGATGTCACCGCATGTTCTATTCTAATAGTTTCTTTTCTCGCCCTAATCGCCGGTGGAACTCTATTCCGATTTCTGGCTTCCCTAACAACTAAAATCCTCTAAAGATTAAATGTAACGTCATTGGTCATCTTCTGTGTGCGTGAATTCTGTTCTTTTATTGTACTTTCTCCTCACTAAAGTTTTCGCAATCTCTTACATTCCAAGTTACCTCCTACGTCTTAGTGATATCAACGTATTGAGGTGAAATAATAATAAAAAAAATAACCAATTACGTATTCAGTATATTCTCAATTGCCTGTCTCTATCACATATTGTTCGCATCTATCTATCTATCTATCTATCTATCTATCTATCTATCTATCTATCTATCTATCTATCTATCTATCTATCTATCTCAGTCTGTTCATATCTATCTATCTATCTATCTATCTATCTATCTATCTATGCCTTTCTTTCCATATAATTAACTATCTCAGTTTATTCATGTCTGTCTATCTCAATCTATCTATCTATCTATCTATCTATCTATCTATCTATCTATCTATCTAAATGTATGTATATGTTTCTATTCTATTCTGCTCTTATCTATCTATCTATCTATCTATCTATCTATCTATCTATCTATCTATCTATTGAAATGTATGCATGTATGTATGTATCTATCTATCTTTCTCAGTCTGTTCTTATCTATATATTCATGTCAGTCTGTTCCTATCTATCTATCTATCTATCTATCTATCTATCTATCTATCTTAGTGTATCCATGCCTTTCTATCTAGTTATCTATCTCAGTTTATTTATGTCTATCTCAATGTATTTATGCGTATCTATCTATCTATCTATCTATCTATCTATCTATCTATCTATCTATGTCAGTGTATTCTTATCTATTTCATTCGTTTCACATATTTTTATCCTAGACAATCAATGTCATAAATAAAGTGTTTTATAGCTAGCCGGTTAATATAATCGATTTCGATAAATATTTCTGTAAATATCTATCTTTAATTCAATGCTCTATGCAAGAGACAAAATATTGGATTGTTTAGAATAGGATGACATTTATCTTTTGATGAGACTAAGTAAATTTCCGTTCGCTCTGTCCATTCCGATCAATCAGGCATCGTCGGACAGCGTTTAACGCAGACTAATAAACTCGTGCAATTCTCTCTCAGATTTAGTTGACAAATTTTGTTCGCCTCCTAATTTCCTTCGACGTCTTGTTTCTCCGTCTGGATGTAACTGGTTTGCTTTTCGTATTACAGAATTATTTATTGATGCGTTGACAATTCTAATAAGAATCAGAGTAGTATCTGTTCACTTTACCTAGGATCAGATTTTCGCTGATTCTCTTCCAAGTGTAAGTACAGTACCACTCTACTTTCGCTAAAATCAAATTCCTCTCTCGATCAGGATCGGTAGAGTATCTGTGCATTCTCACTAAGCTCCGAATGGGATATTTGATATGAATGGAAGAGAAGATTATAAGAAGCAAATATTAAAACCGTAATTCTTGCGAAAAGGTGAGTGTAAGTTTATTCGGAACACGGGGAAATGAGCATGAATCAACACTATGGAAGTTTCAAGGAAATCCTAGCTGCCAAGTTTCGACATATTGCGAGTAAAGAATATTGAAAGATAGAACTTTACAGGTCTATATACAAATGACCATTACTTGTATGAAAACAAAATAGGCTTTTATTACTGACCACAACCGAATGAAATTAAGATCCCAGTGTAACCATCTCATGACACGACTAGAGACTTGCTTTATGATTTTGTGCCGTAATTAGAAATCTAATTAGAGTGCGTAGTCATCTTGCAAGTAAACGATTCCCTAACGTCCGTGCCAAATCTCTTGTGTACACATTTGCCCGGATATGAACTGTGAAAGTCAAGCGGTCTGGTAAGGTTGGTTTCACATTGCGCCAAACTAGCGAGCATATTTACTACAAGGCCGTCCAGAACCTGCTCTACGGATGTAGGAAAGCTCAGTTTATCGCTATTGCCACGAAAATATATCACGCACAAACACGCACATTAATTCTCAGAATGATAATCCATACTCGAAAAGTGAAACCATCCAATTTCCTTTAAATCGCCCTAAAAAGATTGACGAGGTCGCATCACTGCGTCAGGACACCTGTTTGCACTATACTGTTTACCCCCAGGCTCAAGCAGTCACCTCCTGTGAGGAATACGGCATCAAAAGATGTCCCTTGGTGGAATTATTGATGAGGATATCGACAAAACACAGAGGATACATAGGCACAGGCGACATCGTAGTTGGAGTGGATTTAATTTTCGTTTTTGTCAACCTCTCTCTTTCACTCTCTCTCTCTCTCTCTCTGTTTCTCTGTCTCCCTCTCTCTCTCTCTCTCTCTCTATATATATATATATATATATATATATATATATATATATATATATATATATACCCCAATTTATAAAGGGTACGGCCAAAGAACTCTAGTTTAAAAGAGACACTTTTCCATTTGCCAAATATTTTCACACACACACACACACACACACACACACAAGGTGTAAAAATTGATACTTTTGATACTTTTCTATTTTTCAGTATGGGAAAACGATATCTATTTTATATAGCATTAACAATTGCAGGGATAACTATGAAAATATGGGAAAAATTCCGCTTTTGCATAAAATTATACTTGATAGGTATGCATTTAGATATCGTTTTTCCATATATATATATATATATATATAGAATCAGTTCACAGGGTTGATAAGACCGACGACCGATATTTTAGTCTCCCGAAATAGGATATTTTCTATTAATTATTCGCTCCGAAATATATATACATATTGTCATCCACAGAATGACTGTTTCGCTATATCACAGCTCATCAGTGTGGTTAGACAGCCAGTCGACTCTGGCTAGGATTGAAACCCGACTAAATTGGCATCAGTCGGAGATTCTACCACTAAGCCATAAGCGCACGGCGGGGCTGAAGGTGAATTTAAGCACATTTATTTTTAGATAAACACACAGTAAGTGAGAGAACTCGATTCACTTTACCGAAGAGTAAATTAGGTTACTAGCCGTAATAGTCACTGTTTACAAACTCACATTCCCTCCCCAGAGAGCTCAATCGAAATAAAAATTTTATAGGATATATATATATATATATATATATATATATATATATCTATATCTATATATATATATATATATATATATATATATATATATATATATATAATCCTAAAGAGCCAGCGTCTATGGTAAAACGATGAACTACGTCCAACATCAAGGCCTCTGGTCAGAAGGCCTTCAGAAGCGTGGAACCACCTCTTAATTGCTAATATTCCCAGGTTCACCCCTGACCCCAGTTATGGGCAAATAGTTAACCCCAAAACTGGAGTAAAAAGCATTATGAAAGTGTAAAAATAGGTTTTAATACCAGAAAAAACTTTGTCAAAATATTACCAGAAATAAATTTTTGAAGAACAAAAAAACTATTACCAGCAATACGTTTAAAAAAAAATATTACCAGCAATACATTTTTTAAAATAATATTACCAGCAATACATTTTTTAAAATAATATTACCAGCTATACATTTTTGAGGCAAAACTATTACGAACAATAGATTTTGGACAAAACAAAATATTACCAGGAAAAAATAGTTGTCGGCATTAAATGACGCACTGAGGTTGATATGCCGGAAAACAAAAACCAAACCTAAAGAGCCAAGAACTACCTACCTAGGTTACCCCTAAATGGATCTTTAGTGTAAACTGACGATCCATTTAGTTTAAACCCAGGTAGCTTGTTCCTCGCTATTTAGGATTTTTTATTTTATTTTCTGCTCTACTTAGCGTATGTACTTTTTATCTTATTTATTCGATTGGTTTTTTTCTCTCTTTGGACTGGAAATTACGGCACTAGACAATATTTTTCGCCCTGTTCGGATGTTTCTAATTCTTTCCGTATTTTCCGACTTTTTTTCTAGGTACCAATTTATTTCGATTTATTTATATTTTCGAATTACGTCATCCGGGTTTTTTTTTCATCAGCCGAGTATAATTACTAATATATATATATATATATATATTCTTTTTATAGATACAATTTGCCAAATTTTTTCACACACACACAATATTAAACAACATTTACCGGTCTGAATGTCCAAGAAATTTTCATAGAAAATATTCGTCCTCCGACAGAAATCGAACCTGTATCCTATACAAACCCGTGCCTTTAACCAATTTGTCCACAAAGGAGCGTTCGGTTAGCAAGGTCGATTTTACTGTCTTTAAGATAAAATCCTCTGTGGCCAAATCGATTAAAGGCACGTCAGGCTATATGACGGTTCCGTATAGGATACAGGTTCGATTCCTGTCGGAGGACGAATATTTTCTATGAAAATTTCTTGGACATTCAGGCCGGTAAAAGTTGTTTAATACTGTCTATTATAAACAGAACATTTACTTAAATATTCTATCTGTAAAAAGAATGTATAAACATAAAAATGTCTTAAAATAATTGCCGGAATTTGTCCATTTCATCTATATATATATAATAAATTTTCTGATTCAAAATTTGTATTTTTTAAAAAAAAAAAACATATTTTAAATCAGTTAATTTATAATATTAATGCTCTGTAAATTTACATTGAGCACTATTCTGTAAAAATAAAAATATTTATAAGAACACTGGATTATATATCTTACTGATCTTTCTTTTATATATATATATATATATATATATATATATATATATATATATATATATATATATATATATATATATATATATATATATAAAAGAAAGAACAGTAAGATATATAATCCGGTGTTCTTATAGATATTTTTTTTATTTTTACAAAATAGTGCTGAATAAATTTACAGAGCATTAATATTATAAATTAATTGATTTAAAATATGTTTTTTCCCCTACACAGTTCTAACCATGTTTCAAAAATAGAAGCTAAAATCCCCGAATTTAATTTTGCAATTAAATTAAAAGCATTAGTTACATTTAATCTTCATGCGAATTTTGGAGTAACTTTTAAAAATTACTGGGTTTTAAAAACACAGCTAAAATCACGTTTCAATGGTTACAGAATATTCTACTTCAATTGGACAAGGGATATCTAGGTTTTCCTTATGTCAGTATCATTGTGTCAGTTATTAGCTACAATTTGGTAAGGGGTAGGGATGTATTTTTCAATGAAAACTGACATCCGTTGAATGCATGTCGTCTGGATTTTTTTTTTTTAAATTATTGTTAACGGTAAAAAAATTCTTACGGTATGTTTTTCCATTTATAAATTTAAAGATTTTCGGGGGTGTTCAGATCATAATACTTTTTATTTAACTACGATTTGAAATGTTCTCATTTTTAATTTTTATTATACTATATTCTTTTTAAGAACAGTTAAATGTATTAGAATCCATTATATTATGGAGGATTATTTTAACATCAAGTTTAAGTATGTATATGAGGTTTATTTTTTTTATTTTTTATGAAAAATTTATGACTATGACGGCAAAAATGGTTACTTAATTTCATTGATTTAGTAATCTTTTATTTTATATATAAACCTAGTAATATATTGTTTCTCATGTAAGTACAAATGACATTGCGTGCCTGTGTATGTTGTTCTTATTACTGTACAACTTATTTTAACGATTACATGTGTTCGAGTAGACATCACCTTTAATTTTCTAACAGTGACAATAACGTCTCTTAGCTTAGAACATGAAATATATCATATATAATACAATAGAGTAAAAATCATATAATATTGATAGAGATTGTAAGCAACAAAACAACTGTACATGTGGTAAATAGTCTATAACTCATAGTGCCAATGTATCGAAACCACTCAGCATTGGACCAATTAAACGCCCCTAATTAAATGATTCTGCAATTCTCTTTATGACATGACATCTGATTTCAATTGACTCG